AAATAAGAAAACGCATTTTTACGCATTTTTACGCATATGGCTCGCCTAGCCCTGGGCTTGACCTCCACGCATCGCCACGCATTACGTATTTTAAAACACTGCTTTTAATATTGCACAAATACAAGTTAGTTCATAATATGAATAAGTGTACAAATTTGTTTCAATCGCTGCATAATTTTAATGGAAACATCTTTCACTTTAAATTTTTTTGCATGACTCAAGTTGTAAAGCAAATTTTAGAATCGTGGTTAGACATATGAGAGTCAGGTGATGGGTTAATATATTTGAAAATTTTCCAATTTAGGACTAACAATGCAACTGATAATAAATTTGAGGTCCAATGGAGAAATTTTCTCATTTGAATAATAACTTTTTTGGTTAATTTATTCCGGACTTTAAAATGAATGAATCGGAATGATGATCCAGTTTAATGGGAATTCGAATCTCAATAAAAGGCAAATTTAAATAAAATCGGAATTGGTGATTTGATTACAATTCAAAATTAAAAGTTGGATGATAAATGCAAATGGTCAGATTAATTTTAATTCAAGAAAATTGAGAGCTTAGATGGCAATTATGAAAGAAAGAAATTTGTAACATAGGTAGCAGTAGTTGTCAAAATCACTATGTACCACCAATTTAGGTGTTACTCAATAAACTTATTGATGGCGAGTTGTGCTACAGCCTACATGTACATAAAAAGCACTATCAAAATTCTGTACAAATGCATTTGACAGTTTTTGATTGGACAAAAACCTGTAAGGAAAAACTCTATACGTATAGAATTTTCCATTGATGTCACACATGAAATGTTGGTTAGATGCACAGTCATTTACTAAGAAAGTTTTACAAAATGTTCGTAGAAGACGATCCTAATAATGTTGGTGAGTTTTTTAATTTATTATTAGTTAACTCAAAGCAAAATTGTGCTTTTCTTCAGTTATATATCATGAATGATTTATTTATTTAGTTATTTTTGTTTTATTTATTTTATTTTCGTTGTGTCCTGTAGATGGAAACTATGATTTTCATTTACTTTCTCAATCTTTTTCTAAATTATGTAACTTTATTATTTTGAAAATGTCGCTCTTTACCTGCCACCACTAAGCCAGCCAGTCGATTAGGCCCTCCCAAATTAAAAAATCTGGACCTCGCTACTGATAATATTAATGGAGGTAGCCAAGGGGAGGGAAACAATAGAACGAATGCTCAGTTTTTGCCTAATTTTCAATTTAGTAATGGATTNNCTAATTTTCAATTTAGTAATGGATTGTCTTGTCTACAGATTAAGAAAATGATGTCCAATTTTATTATTAGGAGAAAAACGACTTATTTTGTCACTAACTTAGAAAGATTGCTGCTTCATGTTAATTCATAAAGTCAAGTTGATCCGAAGATCACAAACATTTACCCTAATTAATTAATCCTTTATACTGTGAACAAGTCAAATTCTTAGTATTCATTGTTGGGAAGTAAACTTGATTTTGGAGTAAGTAATACGGGTTTAAAAATTTTGCTCGTAGGCCCAATTCAATTAAAAAGTCCAACAAAGTCTTAACATTTTTAGATGGGAAAAATTTCCAATTCAGGCTTTATCTACCCCAAAATAAAAAATCAGGACCAAAGTTTAGATTTACAAAAATCAGGTTTTCATGAATTAATTAATTATATTTCACAATTATTATATTAAATTAAATATTTAACTGTAATATAATATAATTAACCCCCCACCTCCATCACCACCACGGCTTCGGTGACTACTCCGGTGACCGACGACTGATCTCCAGTCGCGCTTAATTTCGGTGACTACTCCGATGACCGTTCTGCCACTTAATTCTGACTACTGTTCCGATTCCGACAATTATTAAGGTCATATTATATGCAATTTAGTCACATATATCTTATTAATTAGTTTAAAATTTAATTTTCAGTCAAAACTTATCAAATTAATTGGTCACGGATCATTTCGATGTCACAGTTCAAAAATAATTATAGGTCACAATTGGCTTCATTGGTTACTGAAAAAAAAATTATAGGTCACAAATTTTTAATTGGTCACAATTTAAAAAAATTATTCCATATTTGTTGGTCACATGTTATATTTTCAATCATAGAGTAAGAATTTTAAGGCCACAGTTACGGCATAGATGGTCACGTACCCAAACATCTGTCCCCCATCCAGTGCACCACCAATACTTGGTCATAGATCGGTATAGTTGGTCACAAACACCCAAATACCCGTCCCTCAATCCCAGCACCCCACCAATACTTGGTCACAGGTCACGTATCGACCAAATAGTTGATCACAGACACTTGGTCCCATACATGCCGCCACCGCCACAGTCACAACTACCCTCCAACAATAACACCAACAACCACCACCATCGCCCCCTGAACAACACCACCAATATAGTCGACCCCATCAAAACACCATCGCACGGACGACCACTACAGATCCATACAAGTTTATCGCCACCACACATACACAAACTAACCAACCGCAGAACACACAATAGGACGAATTAATTGGTCACAAATACTCTCTGTCAACACTGCCGCAACACCACCACAACCACCGGCACAACAATACCAAAAAGCGACAACAGCCACCAACACCGAGCTTTTTACCACAGCAAAATCGCAGCTTCGAAATCCACCAGACGCTGTTGCTAAAACCACCAGACGCTCTCGACCGTCGTTGCGATTCACAGAAGCGTTGACACTGCTGTGATTCGCAGCAGAGGGGGAATGGAGAAGGGAGGGAGGGAGAGGGGAAGAGACGGGTGGCAGGCGGTGGAGGTGGCGGCGATGAGAGTGTGGAGAGAAATGGTTAGAGAGTTGATTTAGGGTTTTAAAATGAATTTGGTGCGAGTAGATAGTAGGTTGGGTATATAGGTTAATTTAATTATTAATATTAATTGTGAAATTAAAACCTGATTTTTGATTAAATAAAGCTTAAACCTGCTTTTCATAAACTTGAAACTAAACAACTGATTTTCTGTAATTATCTCTTTCTAGAAACATGCTATAGAATGATCCATTTAAATATCTAAGTAAAAGATGTGGTCAAAAATATGGTAACGTGTCAAGTGGATTGTGTGGTTCTAGAAATTCTATCTAGAATTTTCTAGGAAAATATCTAGTCCAAATTTGTGGTCTAGAAGCCTCATGAAATTATGAAGTCTAGAAAGCTCTAGGAAATGTGTGGTCTAGAAGTTTTATGTAAACCCNTGAAGTTGAGAAATATAAGTTACCTTTACTTACTTCTTTCTTTTAGTATTGTCCTTCCTATCAAGCCTTAGCCAAACGAAGTTGGTAAACCTCTATTTTCTCCAACATTCTTATCCATGTATAATAAAGAATATGGATTTTAAGTTTTTGAATGTTAGAAATATAAAAATATAGAATATGCAACTGGAAATTAGATTCTTTAACAGAAAAATCAAATTAGAGAGCTATCTTATCTTATCTCAAGCAATTATAAATTGTGGTTTCATTATCAAAACCCTAAAAAATAATCAACAAATTTTAATTCATATTTCAATCTTCAGAATTTTCACATTTCAATTCAATAGTGATGGCTGAAATAGGGATTAACTCTCCACAGGGAAAATGATGTGGATTGTGTCGTTTTACACTCCAACCTATCCTCACTGATTGGTAGTTCATGATGTTTGCTTCCTTCCTGATAATGGCTGGTGCTGGTGCAACCTATCTCTTTGGTGTATTGTTTATTCAAAACGCCACCCTTGGCTATGATCAATCATCCCCTAATACTTTAAGCACATGCAAAGATTTGAGAGCGAATGTTGGAGTTCTATCCGGCCTAATAGCCGAGGTTACACTAACATGGGTTGTGCTCTTGATCGAATCACTCATGAATTTTGCAGGCTATTTAATGTTATGGATTTCAGTGACTAGAAGAATATCAACACCCAAAGTTTGGCAAATGTGTCTCTATATATGCATTGGGGTGAATTCGTAGAATTTTACAAACACGGGTTCAGTTGTTACTTGTGTGAAAAACTTTCCACAAGGTCGAGGTATGTTACTAGGTTTAATGAAGGGTTATGTAGAACTAAATGGTGCACTTTTTACCCAACTTTATCTTGCCATATATGGAAATGATGGTAAATCTTTAATTCTTCTCATTGATTGGCTCCCAGTAGTGATTTCAATATTCTTTATCTTTAACATGAGGATACTGAAAATTTCTAGGCATCCAAATGAGATTCGTGTTTTATATGAGAATCTGATATATTAGTTACTTTGGCATTGGTCTTAATGGGATTAACAATAGCACAAAAGTATGTTATTTTTTCTCATAAAGCCTTAATTGGAAGTGCCACTGAGATTTGTGCTTTGCTTTTCCTTCTGCGCCTTATTGCGATCCGACAAGAATTTTATACTTGGAGATTGAACAAAAAGGAAGCTAGAAAAGCCCCTTCTGGGGTTCTTGTTGAGGAACCACCTTTGATAGAATCAAAACCTGCAAAAGAGATTGAGCTAAAAATCGTCGAATTGGTGGAATATCCAAAATCCATGGTCAAAGAAAAGAAAGAAACTTCATGGTATGAAAACATATGCAAAAAATCGAAAAGGGATGAAGATTACACAATATTACAAGCCCTACTAAGTATAGACATGATAATTCTTTTTGCGGCTACAATTTGTGGATTAGGTTGCAGTTTAACTACAGTTGATAATTTAGGCCAAATTGGTGAATCATTAGGCTATCCAACTCATACCGTCAGTACATTTGTTTCCCTAGTAAGCGTATGGAATTTTTTTGGTAGGGTTTTTTCAGGGTTTGTCTCAGAAAAACTAGTCTTGAAATGGAAAATTCCTCGTACTCTTATGATGACATTTTCCCTCGTGTTACCATGCATCAGAGACCTGTTGATCGCGGTGGCCTTCCTGGGTTCAATTTACATTGCTTCGTTGTTGATCAGATCCTCTTACGGTATACAATTGACCGTACTTTTCATCATCATCTCCGACGTTGTTGGATTGAAATATTTCTCAACTCTCTTTAATTGTGGTCAATTGGTTAGCCCTCTTGGATCATACTTTTCAATGTGAGAACCGTCGGAAAAT